TGAAAATTCTGGATCCACCGTTGCCTGCCGTCTAGTTCTCTATGCATAATACTGTCGGTTTAAGTTGTAATCATTCATAGGGTTAAAAAACTTACAACATCATATTATTTATCTATAATAATAGGTTACGAATATTTATTTAAAAATTTGCTTATAATTACTTAATTACTAGTGATCTAATTCACTAAATGTATAAATATTTTATACACTGTTTGGTCTACGTGGTATGGACACATATAGTAGGGATTAGGGAAAGAATACACAAAATTGACAACACCAACTCCACTGCCTCCCATTCAAACAGAAGAAGCCCTACTTTCACTTTGGACTGTAGTACACGGATGTTCATGGTTCGGTTTGGATCTGTTTTTCCTTAAAAAAAACCAAATCAATTAAGTCGGTTTTTATCGATTCGGTTTTGTCGATTTTTCGGTTATTTATCGGGTTTTTTCTTAAATATGAGACATACACTACCAAACACATATTTCGGAGACTACAGTTTCAACGTAACACTATCAAACCAATTGTTGTTTGAGAAATCTATCATTTACCAAGATATATTGGTGATAATTGAATCAAATAGTGATGAATAATTTAAGTGCTCAATTAAAAATTGAATATTTTTAACATGAAATAAATTCTTGTATTTAACAAAAGAAAACTACCAACCAAACTAGAATGTAAAGGCAAAAAATTAGATTATTATAATAGCAAAAAAGTAGACTAAAAATATAAACGACTAATATATACCATAAAATTTTAGAAACTTTAAATAAAAATATACACATATATATAGGTGTAATAATAAATTTTAATAGCTACTTTTATAGTCCGTTTGGTTCGATTTTTTCGATTATTTTTTTATTAAAATCAAAACCAAACCAAAATTGATCGATTTTTAAAATTCAAAACAAAAAACAAACTAAACCTAAAAAATATCAGTTTTTTTGGCCAAGTTCGATTTGGTTGGATTTTTTTGGGTTCTTGTGAACATCGCAAGTTGTCACAGTTGATTCCGTGAAGTGCGAGTGAGAGTACTCTTTATCTATGAACCAATGACATGCGCTAATGCATAGTCCAACGTAACTATAGATTAACTTTCTTTTCCCGAGTATATATCTGCACGTGAATTCCCAATAATTTCTCATGCATTTGTGGGTCCTTTTTGGCCATCTCTTCGATCTTTTTGTTCTCATGCCTAAAATCCAACTTCTAATTAGAATCTCATCCACAGTACTCCACTCTCTACCTCCTCTCTTCTCATTCTTTCATCTCCTTTTCCTTTTCCAATCTCTTGATTCCTAAATACCTTCACATTCCATTTTCAAAAGTTGCGAGCTTTAACAATGTCTCTTTGGCCATATTCAACTTTTCTTCTTCTTTTTCTGATGCTCGCTTCCAGTAATGGCGCATTTGGCAATAACGCAGCAAATAAGCTAATTCTTCAACTCAAAACACTTCAAAGGACACAGCAGAGCAACAACCAAAGTTGTTATTCCCAAAAATCAAGTGAGTACATATTAGCAAAACAAGATTGTAGAGATAGTCATCATTCGTTAACCTATTATTAATAGAGGACATTTAGCTTTTCCTAGCGATATTATCAACACTTTTATTGGGATCTGCTAATAGTTTTGCTACTTTTCATGCTTTTATATATTTTATGCATCACCTTTAAGACCTCAACATTTCCACTTTATTCTTCTCTCAAGGCTTAAAGATATATAGTGAATAGTGATGATTGGGAAACAATTAAGCTGTTGAAATTACCACTAATAATTAATGGCTGTACAATGTTTTCTAGGAGATTGTCAATACGTGATGTTGCCATATAAGCCAAGCTTTAGGGTCTTAAAACTCTGTATTAATAATTAAATGTTGGTATACAAATTTATAGTAGTCTTTTTATTCCTTAACAGATAGGATTAATACCTACTTTCTTTATACTACTTCACTAAGCATAAACCTATTTGAACTGAGTTGTCAATTATAAACATCTTTATGGTTTTCCAGGAAGTGAAAATGGAGCAATAGTATTAGAAATGAAGCACAAAGATTACTGTTTTGGATCAACTGGCGACATGAACAGAAAGCTACAGAAACAACTAGTAGTTGATTATATTCGAGTTCGGTCAATACAAGCCAATATCAGAAGAATCATTTTTGGAAAAGTTGAAGCTTTATCACAAACCAAAATTCCTATAACTTCTGGTGTCAAATTGCATACCCTAAATTACATTGTCACAGTAACGTTAGGTGGTCGAAATGTGACAGTAATTGTGGACACAGGAAGTGATCTAACATGGGTTCAGTGCCAACCTTGTAGATTGTGTTACAATCAACCAGAACCTCTGTTCAACCCTTCTGTTTCTACTAATTATCAATCAGTTGCATGCAACTCAGCGGCGTGTCAATCTCTTCAATCTGCAACTGGAAATTCAGGATTATGTGGGAATGATTTAACAAAATGTAATTATGTTGTCAGTTATGGAGATGGATCCTACACTAAAGGTGAACTTGGTCAAGATCATTTGGTTCTTGGAAGCACTTCTGTTAACAATTTTGTCTTTGGGTGTGGCAGGAATAATAAAGGTCTGTTTGGTTTAGCTTCAGGACTTATGGGACTTGGAAAGAGTAATCTTTCTTTGATTTCTCAAACTACTGGGATTTTTGGTGGTGTTTTCTCCTATTGTTTGCCTTCAGTTGAAGCTAAATCCTCTGGCTCATTAGTATTTGGTGGTGACACTTCAGTTTTAAAGAATTCTACACCCATTTCTTACACTAGAATGGTTGCTAATCCACAGCTTTTTAGCTTCTATTTTCTTAATTTAACCGGGGCTAGTATCGGTGGGGTCACTATTCAAGATTCAGCTTTTGGAAAATCTGGAATTATCATTGATTCTGGCACAGTTATCACAAGGCTTCCTCCCACTATTTACAAAGCTGTAAAAGCTGAGTTCTTGAAACAATTCTCAGGGTACCGTTTAGCACAAGGATTTTCGATTCTTGATACTTGTTTTAATCTCTCTGCATATGAAGAAGTGAGCATTCCTACTATTAAAATGCAATTTGAGGGTGGTGTTGAGATGGAAGTGGATGTTACTGGGGTTCTTTATTTTGTAAAGAGTGATGCATCACAGGTATGTTTGGCTTTGGCAAGCCTCCAATATGAAGATGAGATAGGAATTATTGGAAATTATCAGCAGAAGAATACTAGGGTCATATACGACATAAAGCAGTCACGAGTTGGATTTGCAAAAGAAACATGCAACTTCTGAGTTTTCTTGCAGATAAGACAAAGTTATGTCCTAAAATTTATCCTCTCAAAAGCAAGCCAATAGCGGTCGGAGCCACCGGGTTAGTTGCGTGTTTGGTTGAACCTATAACTTTTGTTCAAACCCTAAATTTGTATTAAAAAATCCAATGAATTTATATTAAGGATTATAATCCTGAACTCATAAGGTTCAAATCCTAGCTCCGCATGTAGCCAATAGTGTGACTCGTTGGCAATGAAATTTTAAGAGGACTATTTTTCTGAATATAAAGAAAAAGTAGAGCTTCATCCTTAGGGGATTAGATATTAATTATGAGTGCAAATTGTTTATTATCAAGACTGTTGAAATGTGATATATCTCATAAGCTTCTGGAAATCAACCTCATTATATATTGGGCCCTATATAATGTCCCTTCTTCTGAACATGAAAACAATATATTAGACAAGATTTTACAAAGTAAAGTTCAGACTTGCTTTGAAGCTTGTCCTAATATAAACAGTTTTTAAAATTGCCTCGATATATGCAACTGCAATTTAAATATTTTCCTTTAAGTAAATGTTATAACTCATATAATATGGTTTTTATAATTATCATTTTTGTTGCCAAGACATCTTTATAGTGTACAATAGTAGTACTACACTGTACAAACCGACTGACAAAAAGATTATTTTTTAAATCATTTAGAATAGTTTGAGGCTTAATCATCTTGTAAGGATTCAACTATAGTTGCATGAGGGATGAAGTCACATGTTGGCATATTCTTTACAAGCGCATAAAAACATGCATTAGGCCCACATAAGAATGTCTTGATAACCGAGCCAGTTGTCCTTTCCTTCTTTGGTTCTATGAGTCATGGCTAAAAATGGGTAAAAGGAAATGGTTATACACTCATATTATCTATTAAAAAATAAATTGGATAATGAATTTTTTAAAACGAGTTGAATATGGATAGGAATCATATTATCCACTTAAAAAATAATTATAAAAAATGATTAACCAAATAGATAAGCAATAGATAACTAATGTGTTTAACTTTTACATTTGTAAAGCCTCAAATTGGGGGTTCCTCAAGTTTGAGAGACTAAAAATTCCCCCATAAGTAATCATATTCAAGAAGTCATGGATAATATGGATATCCATATTATCCGCCGGATAACCCGTTTTTTATCTGTCTCAAATACAGATCGGGTCGGATAATTTTTTCGATTTTTTTTTTTTGAATTACTTGTTTTTGACCAGCGAATATCCGACCCAACCCGCCCATTTGCCACCCCTAGCACTCATGGCCCTAGGGTGGTGTAGTTTTCCCCCTTTTAGACAAGATAGATTTAGAGCCCGTTTGGATTAACTTATTTTAAGTGCTTTTAAGCCAAAATGGCCATTTTGTAGTGTTTAGATAAAGTAAAAAGGTGATTTTAATAAGCCAAAAGCTAAAATTCCTAACGTATGACTTTTGGCTTAAAAGTCACTTAAAACAAGCTCATCCAAACGGACTCTTAGTGGTCAATCCCAATAGGCTTAAGATTGACCACTAAGTCTAAAAAAGAGGGCATCTGGGTGCACAAAGCATCCCGCTTTTATGCAGGGTTCGAGAAAAGACCGCATCCCAAGAGGGTATGATGTAGACAGCCTATCCCGATGCAAGCATAAGCCAAAACGCCCTTTTTTAGACTTAGTGGTCAATCTTAGCCCACCAGCCACAGAACGATTCCATTTGCTCCTCTCTATCACGGCAAGACCAGAGCCAACTGTACTATAGCACATTTCAATGTCTGAACAAGATTCCAAGAACTACAACTACTCGTACATATAATTTCACGAGGTCATTCTTTCTGAAGTATTATGGAGGAATACATCAAACGTAAGACTTGCCGGATGAATAACTATGGTCAGTCAGCTCAACTTCTTTTTACCAGAAAGCTGGTACATCCCATCTTGTATAATTTCTGTCATGCTGCATCAAAATTCAGCGGCATAGGAGAGAAAATAAGTTTCAAACTGGAGTACACTTTTCCAGTTTTGTGATTTGCACTCATGTATCGGCTAAATGCTGGTCAAGGCTGCTCACAAGAGAAGCCACTTCCATATTCTGATTTTCAACAATATCGTCACCCTTTTTACTCTTCAACATCTCAGTTGGTAGAATAGAAGCATTCGGATCACTGCTTGGTACTAGAAAAAGAATGCAAACTGGAAGGATTCTTAAACAGCTCCGGATCACTATCACTATCCAAAGGTTGTCAAATTGTGTCCTTGTAACATTGAAGGTATGAAGTAAGAGGCCTCCGCCCCAGGATGCTGTGAGCATACCAATATGATCGATTGACATTAGCAAAGCAAAAAAGGTTCCTTCAATGCCTGAGGGGCAAAGCTTTGAACTGAGTACAAGAAGAGGCATCCATTTGAGACGCCCGATCATATGAGAAAATGCTGCATCGCTTACAACAACAACATAGTCAGGGATACCAAATTTTAAGTTTACACGTGAAACCAATATTAAGTCTACCAGCCCTGAAGCACCATACAGTAACTGAGTCCAGAAAAGTACGCTACGGAAAGGATGGTTTTTAAAGGCATTCTGGTAAAGGAGAACACCAAGAAGAGAGCCCACCGCACCAACAGAAGAAATGGACCCTACCATCTCCTGCACAACCCATGGCAATTATATTCAGACGTCTTGTGTTAAGATAGTTTTCCAACTCGAAAAGAAAAGAATGACCAATTTTAAATAATGAGCAGGAAGTTAGGTCTTGAGTCATTTTCAAAGTTATCCACAATAGGTTGTAGAGATATAATTCAAATACCTTTGAAAAAGACGGTCCATCCTTTGCATCTGTATACCAGTAAAACATTCCCTCGTGAATATGAAAACTCAATGCAAGAGAAACGTACATGTATATACATGGCCTCCAAACACTCTGGCATTTCAGTGCCATCCACATAGCTTTACCAGCATCAGAGAACTTTTGACTTACCTGTCTCAGAAACATACATATATGAGACAAATACGAAAGATAATAAGGATCCCTAAAGTGGCGAAGGCGACTTACCCGCTTATATGCAACGTTGGGTACATATGTTTCACGTGACATCATTCCTACCAAAATGACCAGACCAGCAGGGATGCTTAAAATTCCAAACACTCCCTGTCAGAGTTATCAGTAGACAAGAAAATATATCAGCGACATCAAAGCAGTGACTGGTATTGAAACAGTCAGCTAATCATGAAGCATGATGGTTATGATCTAAAAGTAACCTAAAGTAGCTTAAGTTACTGATATGATTCAGGAAGTAAGAAAATCTTATTGAGATAGTAATGCCCTAATTTTCATGTAATGAGCCTCAGGCTTGACAAAATGATTTGATCAATTCGCAAACCTCAACCAAAAGCAGAAAGAATACTACTTCCAGAAAAAAAAAAAGATAGCAAATAACTCAATCAACAAACCTTGGATCCAATTAGATGAACCAAAAAACCACTGATTCCGAACCCTATCAGTTGCCCCACTGAAGAGCTCAGACCACACAAGCTTTGCATGTCACTGGCAAGAGAAGGATGGCTTATCCTGTTCTCTGTCACACATGCATCAATAGTCACATCTGCTATTGCCACTCCCGCACTGCCAGCCATTAGGCACAACAAAGCAAATGCAAGGTGTAAGTTCTGGTTGATTGACAGACTAAGCATGGCAACAACACCAATGAAACCTAAAGAACAAAGGGAGGTAAGTCAAAAGAATGATTTTTTATTTGCAACGTCAATTACACGGCAGCTGGAAGTTGGAGACTACTGAATGCAACAGATTGTTAAACAAGCTACATCAAATTAATCCATTTGTTAAAGTTTTCATAATACCAGCTGGAAAAAAAACATGAAAAGGCACAAAGGATAGTTTTCTTTTGATTCCCCATATATGACAAAAAGAGTAGATGTGGTTCTTTGTGCTTATCAATTTCATCCTTCACACTTGGCTTTACATAATTTGACCATAGAGCAACTAGATCAGCCCACTTGAGTGTTTCCCTCCATGCTTTGGAGACTTCACAAAATTTAGTTTTCCCCATTCTCCACTGAATGTTAAGAGGCCCTATTTTGCAGGAGATAAGTTATCGAACATACAACAATTTCAAAAAAGCAATTAACTCATTACTCACACATGATGTAACTGAAATTCATACTAGCAAAATAGATGCGAAAATAGAAACCGCAATTAGAGAATTCAATATTGTCAGAACTCACTTTCGATTGCGGTGACAGTCTAGCACCTCAGCTGATTTGACAGAAAATAAAGATTTTGGAACTTTATTTCTCTCTTTTCTATGGTAGACTTTCTTATATTAAATGGCCGTGACAAGATTTTGCATATTTTCATGTGTTCAAGGCCATGTTTTGTGGAATGTAATGGCTAATGAAGTCTGTTTATGTCCCCACAAGCATATAAGCACCCAGATATGAACTTATATCCCCGCACTTTGTGTTTGGCGCATATATTAATTTGTTAGTTGCAAATGTGATGGAAGGGTGGCATTACCCTCATACAAAACCAAAAACTAAGTGAAGGTGTTGCCAAATATGAACAACTAAACCCCATTTTCACAAATCAATTAAGCAGAAAGTGAGTAGAAGAAAGAGAGGAGAATAACTCTTGACAAAAAAGAACTGATATCCTTTGCTCCATGAGCCACTGACTTTTCTCCCCCTTTCTGGTGTTAGCGTTTTTCTTTTCGTCACTATATAACTGTTCGACCACCAAAATATTATCGTAGTTACTATGATGCACTAACCTCCGGTCTTTGCGAGTTCGGCTCATTTCTATCCATAGGTGATACAAGTAGCGGACTGGTATAGCAAATTTTAGCAATCCATGTTGCGATCCTTTTGTTTTAAAATGTAATACCAATTCTTGTTTCTAAATTCAACTTGGATTAAGAAAAATGTGAACCCAATTTTCTTTCTTAATAATATCCTGTATTAAGCCTTCCAAATTCTCTATATCTTAATATATATTAATCTATGATGTAAAGAAGCTACACATACAGAATTTACATTTTAGGTCAGTCTGCAAATAGCAAACTCATTCTGGACCCGCGAACCATAGCAAGTTACATATTCAGTATGTCTTCTTTCAATCTCATCCTCCTTCCTCCCCTATGCCTTCCTCACTATCATATCTATTGCTTTCCCTTTTTTTAAAAAAAAAAAATACAGAAAAGGTCTTCCCCGGTATTCTTCATTAAGAAAGAAGGCCTTCAGATGTACTCTAAACTATTCTTATCATTTTCATCCCAGAGAACAGATGACTTGGACAAATAATCTTATTTTTTGAACTACACAACTGCCATGAGCAAGTTCCTTAAAACTAGAACCAGTCTGACCTCAGTGAGAGAGCAATGATTCTAGCATTCAAAATTTTAGGGGCCTCCCTTGAGCTGGACTACAAAAGAACAGGAAAGCAAATAATCTTCTTACTGATCCTTTTGAATTCCTTGAACAAACACTGGTGCCTCTATCTCCCAATGTTTCTCTAATTAACGAGAAAATCACCATATGAACGTAAGAAGAATTGTCACAATGTCACTATTGGAATAACACATAAATATTCTTCCATCTCCCAGTAACATCATATTGTTAGATACCAAAGGCTCATTACTGCCATGGTTTCCAGAAATGGACCAGCTTCTAAAGACCAACGGTTACTATTGTACAGCTAGTATGAACAACTCATATCATCAAAATGATGGCAGTTTGGGACAAGATTGGAGCTCCTTGGTGTATCACAGGGAGGAAATTTAAAAATGAAAACCAAGGATTAGTCAACTCATATTTGTAATGAAGATTAATAGCTTAATAAACGATTCAGATCTCAAATAAAGCTTTACAGCCATAAGAAACCCCAAGCACACTAGGAATTTCAGTTGTTCCTCACGCTTGATCTTAATTTGATGCCGTTGCTTATGCTTAATGGTGATTCAAATTTCAATGCCATCATATTGTCATTACTTTACAAAGGATAAAAACATAGTTGAATTCTGAAACAAGAAACAGAACTAAGAAAAACATGTGGTTTTTAATTGATTTAGAAGCTTTCTAAGCAAACAAACCCAAGTGCTCACAGCTTACTTGAAAAAGGGAATGAGAAAAAAAGGATTGCATGGTCAAAATTTAAGATTAATTTTAACAAACATGTAACAAAGAACAGAAAAATATATATAGAAACATAACTAAAGTCATTAAAGCTAGCAGGCAGCAGCTAATGTATTGAAGTAAACTAATCATACTAGCCGTTAATTCAATTTGCAAATGATGAACTTACCACCAAGCATGAAATACGGTCGTCTCCGGTATCCTAAAATAGGAAGAGTGTCAGTTAAAAGACCCCAAAGAGGCTTAACAACCCAAGGCAATTGAATAATTCCAAAATAAATTTGGGCTTCAGATGGCTGTAACTTCTGTTCATCTTTCATATAATACTGTGTACTAATCTTGCTCAAACCTAAACTCATTCCCTGATTTATTCCATACACAATTACCACAGCTGACACGAAGCTCCAGTGCAGCTCCTCACTTAACTTTCCTAACCAATAAAATGGCCTTAAAATCAGACCCAAGATTCTGTTTTTTGTCTTCTTCTCTCTCTGAAGTTGGCCATCAAGTAAAAGCGTACCTTCTTGGCCCATTATTCAATTGGTTTCGATAAGAGATAAACCAGATCTGAAAAGTTATTTCTGCATTAGATGATTTGAGTTCGATCAAAGGAGCTTTTAGAATTCGAGAAACATAATGATGGACTGAATCGACGTGTGAAATGGGTAACGGAAAACTGGTAAAGTCAAGTAAACAGCGCGACGTCGACGAGGAAGAAGAAAATCGCGTAACCAAATCGATGTGTTGACTTGAATGACGAGTTTTGGACCAAAACAATCCTAAATTATACTCTCTCAAACTTAAATTTCATCCTTTAAATATTTATATGAACACAAAACATCCTAAAGTTTAATACAATGAGCAAAATACATCCTACCGTTGGTCAATGTTTGAAAACTAACGGCAAACAAAACCTTTTTCCCCCAGTACATGTTATTTACAGATTATCCGTTTCCAGTATTCTAACGTTAAAAGTTAGAAAATGGCCAATCTAGCCCATACTGGTCGAGCCACCGTGAACTTAGGCGTCTGATCCAGCCATGAAATTTTCGTCGATTGTCCTTTTTTTATAAGTTATTTAATTAATTGTTCTCTTTTTATTTATCTTGCAACTGGTAGCCCTTAGATTACGGCCTAAAGATTTGTTTTGAGAAAATTAAAAATCTTATAAAAAATGTTAGACTATGATCTAAAATTTTATAAGTTATTAAAAATGTTGACCACAATCTAATATTTTGTAAGCAAACTGAATATTATATAAGCAAATTATGGACCTGAGTGTAACATTGTACGGAAGGGATGATTTTTTAAGGGCTATAATTGCACAATTTTTTAAAATAAGGATAAAATATGAACATTGGCCTAAAAATTGGACATTTGCGCAAACCAGCCGAACCAGTCAGGTAGAGGTCATGCACATAAGTTGGTCTCAATCATCGAGTAAAAATTGCATGCTGCCCTATTTGGTCGCCCAATTTAACTTGTACCTATTTGGTCGTCTCATTTAACTTGTACCAACAACTTCAGGCTTTTTCTCCTTTTACTTCTTCTTCTTTTTTCTTCTTCTTTTTTTTTTTCTTCTTTTTCGGGTAACAGTGCTTTTATATGATATTTGTGAACATATTTGAAGATAGTTTATGTGTTTTACACTAGTGAGTTATTGTGGCACTTTATTTTTTATTATTGCTTAGGATTTCTTCTTCTTCTTTTTCTTAATTGCAAAATTGGCTCGTTAGATTTATTGTTGTTTTGACAAATTGATGATTGGGGTTTGTTCTTGATGATATTTGGAGGTTATGTTGCAAATTTGAGCTCATTTGGAGTAGATTTAGGTATTAAATCGTATATTCGATTGTTAAAATTTAAATAACAAATTTATGTTTCTAAACAATTTACACTTCATACCTATTTGGCTTAAGTGCATGAAAACGTTGGTTGCACTACAGACATCTTGGCCTTAAGTGCATCTGAATTGCAAATTTTCACTTCAGACTTGTTGGCCTTAAGTGTAGGAAAACATTTGTTACACTTCAGACCTTTTTGCGTTACGTGCATCTAAAGTACAATTTTTCACTTCACACTTATTGATTTTAAGTGCATGAAACCATTGGTTGGACTTCAGACCTATTTGGCCTTAAGTGCATTTAAAGTGTAATTTTTTACTTCAAACTTATTTGGCCTTAAGATTAAAAAATATTTGTTGGACTTCACACATTTTAGCATTAAGTGCATCTGAAGTGCAACTTTTCACTTCGGGCTTATTGGCCTTAAGTGCATGGAATCATTGGTTGTATTTCAGACCTATTTGGCCCTAAGTGCATCTAAAGTGTAATTTTTTAACTTCATACTAATTTTTTTAAACTTCTGTAATGACCCGACTTGTCGATTTGAGTTATTACTCTCTTTTCTACTATTCGAAGTCTTGAATAGCTTCATATGATGTATTACGACTTGTATGCAAAATTTGAGGTCAATCGGACTTGATTTGCTATATTTTCGACATCGATTCTTCAAGAATACGCGGTATCACATCAAGCAAATGAGCTCCAAATTCGGTTTTGATTGAAGAATTATATCGGTATTAAAATTTTGGAGCCATAGCAAAAAGAATTATCGAATTCGGACATCGTATGAGAGAGTTATGCCAATTTCCGTGTCGAAAAAGATTTCCCGTTGCCGCGAGCGGCCCAGGGTAGCGTGGGGCGCTAGCTCTGGCACTAGGATGTTTAAGGGTACTGGAAATAGCGCCACAGGCAGCGCCACACGCTACCTGTAACGCCCAAAACAGCTGAGACCCTATAAACGGGGGTTTTCTACTATTTTTGACAAAAATAGAGTTGGGGAGCTCGATTTGGGCGATTTTCGGGCGATTTTCATGGGTAAACATTGAGGTAAGTGTTCCTTATCCTATATTGATTATATTTCACGATTTCATACTCATTTATATCATGAATCTGTGAATTTATGGAAGAAAAGTCAGATTTTTGTAAAATCTTCCAAAAATGTAAAATGAAGATTTGAAGGTCAATCCGATATCGGAATTTGATAAAATTGGTATGGGTGAACTCGTAATTGAATGGGTTTGTCGGATTTTGTGAGTTTTGTCGGATTCCAAGATGTGAGTCTCACGGACGACTTTTGAGTTAAATTTCGGATTTTGTTGGAAAACTAGTATTTTCATATGGAATTAATTCCTACGATTCGTGTTGAGTATATTGAATTGTTTGTGACTATATTTGGAGCTTTCGGACACGAATTCGCAAGGCAAAGGTTTATTGGAATCTTAAAATTGGTTGTGAAACGATGTAAGTATATTGCCTAACCTCGAGTGGGGAAATTACCCCTTGGGCATTGAGTCTTATATGGAAATTGTGTAATTGAAAACCATGTATGCGAGGTGACGAGTACGTACTTGGTTTATATGTGCAAATTATATCGGTTGAAATTCGTAGACGCCCTTAAGTATTAAGTTGAAAAATTGTTGTAACTTATTAAATCCCCTATTGTCATGCCTCGTTTCTTGTTTGTCGAGGTTGTTTTTATATAATAATTTGGTGTGATTGCCACTTGACTTTTATGTGAACTCTGTGTTTGTTTGAGTTGCCATTTTTATGAAAAATATTTTCATTATTGATTTTACCTACAGATAATTTAAATGGAAAATTTAGTTAATAAGATGAATAAATCTATTTAGTTCCTGAAGTTGTGATTTAAAAGAGGTGTTGTTCCTAGATGAATTACTTGTCATTTCACGTTGTTGAAAATTTGGTATTGAATTATAAAGGCCGTGAATCATATTGAAGCAAAATGCCAAACTGTGAAATATTATTCGGTTGAGTTGTTCACTCCCGAATATTTTGTTAAGATGTTGTGCACATTATGATCGAGCCATGAGCTCCTTATTGTGGAAAATAATATATTGTTGATTTTATGGCAAGTTGTAATATTTGAGCACTTGATATACAATCCGTGATAAGTTGTAACATTTGAGCACTTGATATACAATCCGTGATAAGTTGTAACATTTGAGCACTTGATGTACAACCTGGTTAAGTTGTAATATTTGAGCACTTGATATGCAACCTGTGTTATGTTGTGATATTTGAGCACTTGACGTGCAATTTATGAGATGTGATATTGGCACGTTATATTGTTGGGAGATTTGTTCGGGTGTTTGCACGAGGTTTCTGCCGTACTATTGTTACTATTGATTTATGCACATGCGGCGTGACAAGGCG